GTTACAGCTGCACTCTTTCCTTGACCAGTTGTTCCGCGACACTCGCGCGCTCTTCCTTCATCTTCTCAATCTGCGCTGTGTGTGCCTTCTTCAGGGTCTCCAGCACGAGCCCGAACTGTGCCTTGTGCGAGTTAGCCACCAAGTTGTGCTCGGTCTCGAGGCTTCTGCGCAGCCTTCACTACTCTTCCTCGTAGCCGGCTTTAACATTCTGTAGCTCTTGTTGAAGGCTCTCTCTCAGCACCCCTATTTTGGCCCTGTGCTACGACTTTAGTGCCCCCATCTCTGCAGCGTGCCTGACCCCAGCTTCCTCTCGCTGTTCTCCAACTCCTGATAATACTCTCGCCTCTGGGAGCCCAGCGTGTCGGCGTAATGGTCCCCTTCGTGCTTCAGCAGAAGCAACTCTTCGTCTTTCAACTTTACTTCTTCATGGTACTGTTTCTGGCTCGCAAGCAGTTCTTCTAAACGCCTCCTGTGCTCGCCCACGGTATCCCGAAGCTTTTCCCAGAGATTCTGCAGCGTGTACTCGAACTAGGTGCGGACGGCCTCCCCTATGTATTACAGCCTTGCCTTTTCCTCAGAGAGCAGCTTCTCGTACTCAGCTTGCGCGGACTCAGCCTCCCGTCGCAGCACCGCATTCTCTCCGCAAGTCGTCGAATTGTGGTGCTCGGATCGAGTGCCTAGTCTGGTGTTATTGTCGTGTCCCTGAGTTCCGTTACTCTCAGTTTCTTCCTCTTATTCCTCGTCTTCTTCCTTTTCTTCGCGTATGCTGCTTCGTCATCCCGCGAATTTGTGACCGCATTCATGATCGCTGCCCTCGCTCGCTCCGTGGGGCTTTCTCTCGTCACGGCAACATCCCACCTCGCGTCAGCATCTGCTCCAACGTCAGCGAGATCTCATGAACCCTGTCGACACCAACTGGTCTTTTCGTTGCCTCCATGGAGCTCACCTCCCTCCTCCGCGAAGACGGGAACGACCGGAGTAGACGGATCGGCAATTTGCTGAGCAAATCGAGCAAGCTCCTTGGGGGAAGGAAAAGAGCGGCCCAACAGGTGTAGCTGGAAACGGGGTTGGCATCGCCGAATAACATGTGAAACCTTTACGGCCTGAGGTACTGTGTGGTCTGCCCGACGGAAGAGCGTCTGCATGGCCTGAATATAATCTTGCAGACCCTCCTGTGAGTGTTGCGTTCGGATGTCGAGATCACGTGGCTCTTCAGAGACCAAAGTGCTCCGGCGGGACCTACCAGTTGCTCTGCGTGGTACCGCAGAACGATGGCGGCGTCTTCGTTAGCGCCCGGTAGGAAATATTCCCTGAATGCCGCGACGAACTCGTTCCAGGAATTAAAGGGTGGTTGAAGCCGCCACCATCGTTCTGCGGTACCACGCAGAGCAGCTGGTAGGACCCGCCGGAACACGTCGGTCTCTGAGGAGTCGCTAACGGTTGAGTACACGGAAAGATTTTCGATGAAGTCAACGACCAATTCCTTCGCGTCTTTACCGGAAAAAGCGGGCACGGGGAGCAACGTAGTCAGGGCCATGGTCGTGAACTGCCTCGATGTCCGTGGCCCAGAGGCAAGGTTCTTCCTGTTGGGCGCCAATTGTAGGGGGGTTTCTAGGCTGCTTAGCCCAGAACCCCACGTGGAAGGAACCTTCTTTATTGACCAGAACCCGGGCCGCAACTGCCCGCTGCCAGTGGCTGCCGCGTACCGCTCAGCGCACACCCTATCCTCGTTTTCCTCTTCCTTTCTCCTACTGTCGGCGCGCTCACGGCCTCCGCTCCCATAAAGTTCAAAGTACAGCGCTTAGACGAAAACGTGCTCTATTTCTTTGAAAATAAAAAACACACAATTTCTTTTCCAATCCATTCCGTGCAAAAGGCGCTTAATTCCATTCCCATTCCATTACTCCGAGCACAGTCCCCAATCAATTCCCATTCCTTTCTGGGGTCGCGAAAATGTGGAATGATTTCACTGTCATTTCCATTCCGGAGTGGGAACTCCGCAACACTGGCATAAACAATATATATATGTATAGGATTCGTTACTTATATCAGCTGAGAATCCACCCTTCTTTTGCTTTTGTGGTTTGCCTTGAGCAGTCGTTGGGCGCCCCTTTGACTTGAAGCTTCTCTATTTTCCCCGCGCATCACACACTCATTTCACACAGTGTGACGTCCCCGCAAACATGGACTGAACCATGGTCCTTTCAGGATGTTTTCGCTTGTTTCTTAAAACCACGCATAAAAAAGGGAAAAAAAAAACCTTCGGTGTAACGAATGGGCGTTCCGGAGTGGAGTACCTGGAAGGATTATTTCTACTGTTCTCACGAGCCCCCCGCGCAAACACGAGGACCGGGCGGCGCCTTGTGGTCTACAGACAGTGTGACAGTGTACGGTGGCAATAATCCGCGCGCACCCTTCAGATTTGGGGCATGGGGGAGCTGCAGAGCACCTTTTGTTGGTTCGGGGAATGCGACCCTGCCGCAGCGCCTGTGCCGGGTCCGGTCTGATTTTCCGTCAGCCTCCGTGGCTCCAGGGCTCATTATTGCGTTCTGTGCGGATGGCCACCCGCGGCGTTAAATGACGAAGAAGCGGCGGCTACGGAGAATTTCATGGGAGACACTGAGCTGCATGGAGACGTCGAGACTCGTTCTGGACATCGGCTCATCAAGTACCAGAAACCGGGTAAATTGGTGCGGCCGAAAACATTTTGGCACAACACTGCAAACTCCGGACGTAGGCCATTACAGACGACGCACTTTGTCGGAAGCATCGGGACCATTGTTCGCCCGTAATTAAAGTGTCTTGGGACAGCTCGCCCATCTCTCTCTCTGAGGCTTGAGTTTGTACATTGTTACTTGCTCGGCTTTGTTTGGGAGGGGGTTGTCTACTGGTGTGGGCCGCGGGGGCGGCCATCGAAGATGATACACTCCGACTGACAAGAAAATATGCCACGTCCATAGTGGCGATTGGTTTGGTGCCCCGGTAGGGCGGGCGGAGTCGGGTCCTACAAAAAGGGTACTACGAGACGATACGAGGGGTCAGAGATACGATGCGATGAGCTCGAGATGGTAGAGAGACGGAATGGAAAAGGAAGATAACAGTGCGAAGATATAGCGATGAGGGGCGATGAGATGATGACTGGGCAAGGCCGGTACCACGAGGAATGAAAGTTAGGGATAGGAGGTGAGTGAGTAAAACGTTACGAAAGAGGGCTAAGATGGAAATCACTGAGAGTCACGACGAAGGCGACGAAGACGATGAAGACGCTGACGAATTCGACAATGACCCCAGGAAGAAGCCCTGAGCCCCGACTCGAACAGCCAGCTCTGAGGCCCCCGTCAACATGGACATTCTGTAAGACGAACTTCACCTCCCTTACTTAAACGAGCTATGCGGGAAGGGATGCGGCATACTGAGACATCGCGCGGTTTTATTAATTAATGACTTTATCATTTGTGTCGTCGTGTGTTTTCTTTATATATGCATACCCTTGTATTGTTACAGTTATTTTCTTTATGTGCCTGCCCTTTGTCGAACGTCGCGAATGCCTAAATCATATGTTATAATTTTGTGTAGTGGTTGATGTACGCGGGTATACGATGTTTGCAGTTAGTAATAAATTAAATGAATCAGTAAACAGGAACAGGTCGTAGTGTCTCTTACGTCCCGGCCTCAGCACGAATCCCTGTATGTGGGAAGTGATTGAGACACACAGCCAAGAGGGAACCGGATAGACAAGGGGTTGAGTGGTCTTCCCTCTCTTTGGTAATCAGTGGCATAGCGGGGGACGTCTCACAGGCACATTCGAATAGCACGTACAGCTTAACCATTGCAGTGTAACTAATGGGGCTAGGCACTGCATGGTTAACTTCTCTACCAATGATCTAACATCTTACTTGCTTCTTTGTGTCAAACAGACATCACATTTCTGTAAAGGTGGGACAAATTTCCGTTCGACAAAAAACGTCTTTCAATTATAACGCCTAAGTTAGGTGCCCATTTAGCGTGCCAAGCTAATCCTCAGTGGTCGCATTTAATCATCAGTCGGGCTCAGTAACACATCAGATGTTTGCACATATGTGCGTTTGAGAAAAAAAGTAGAGCAGTGGTATTCTAAAAAATGTAAGACTTTTTGTGCGCGAATAGGCACATTGTGAGCACGGATTGTTCCGTGAGCCCTGTAAAGTATCACGTATATCTACGCATGCACAAAAACATACAGCATGCACTCAGGAACTTAAGTATTTTGCAGGCAGTACCTCGCACGCAAGCGTGAAAGCACGTTCAATGGAGAAAGAGAAACGCGTGGTCGCTCAGAGTGACATTGACTCGTGAAACAGACGCCGAAGAATTAGTTGAAGCACGTTAATAGGTGCTAATCCTCTGACCTCTCAATGTGCCTATATGCTCTGTCCTAGGGGGGGGGGGGGTGTCACCTCTTTCTCCCCCCCTAAAAACTCGCCTTTGCATTCTTTGCACTCTGCACTGATCATTCGGGCCTCCGTGGGAGAGTGTGGAAAAGAAAGAAGGAGGAGGCGTGGGGTGACAAACTAAATCACAGCTCCCCCCCCCCCCCCTCCACTCACTTACAGATGATTGTTTGATTTATATATTTATTTATTTATTTATTTATTTATTTATTAATATGTGGGGTTTAACATCCCGAAACCGCCATATGATTATGAGAGACGCCGTATTGGAGGGCTCCGGAAATTTTGACTACCCGGGGCTCTTTAACGTTCATCCACATCTGAGCACATGCGCCTACAGCTTATAGATGAACCCCGCAAGCATCTACGGTCGTCTGTCACACTCTGTCAACACAGCAACGTATTCTACATCCTGTCGTAATAACGGTGTGCGGGAAGTCAGAGCCCGGAGGAGAGAGCGAGAAGCCTCTGGTGAGGGGCTCTTCTCTCTCTCCGCCGCCCACAGTCGCGCACCAACGCACAAGGCAAAAAGAAGAGGACCCGGTCGGACAAGTTCTGCCCGTGCTTCTCCCCAGTTGGGCAACTCCGCGTGGGTACGATGGGTGTGTTGCGAGAAGGCTTCCGGTGGTGACCACGACCGATCCGTGCCGTCGCTGCTGCTGGCTGCAGCAGCAGGTGATTCGCCGAGGCCATGCGACGAAACGTGAGTGTGCTGTGGTCACATGAATGGCCTGTCTTGTAGCGAGCCATTAGTATCTGCCTCTATGATCGACGTCTGTCTCGCAATAACCGAACGATCAAAACGAGTCGGCAGAATCGTTTGCTAGCCTCTGCAGCTGCTCATCGTGTCTTCGATGGCTGCTTTCAGAACGAGCGCTGAATGAAACCCGGGCCGCGGAATGTGCAGTGATGGACAAACTTCTCGACACCATTGCTATCACGCTGTACCACTTCTGCGCGTGAAAGTAGAAAGGGAGTTTGCGCTTAGGCGCGCTTCTTGAACGAATGAGATCGACTTCGCGGCAGGGGCTTGGCGTACAACACTAGGTATATGCAGGTTTCGGATCAAGTCTAGTCGGCTCCTCGACTTCGTCAATGATCGCGGGGCACATTTTTCCGTTACATTGTACGTGATGTCCCGTAGCGAAACCGCTTTTACGCGTGCGAGCTATACATCGGTAATGTCGCCTTTTCTACGTCGCTCTTTACCTTCACAGCGCAGTTTGATTTCGGCTCGCATAGCCGCGACGGAATCGAGTGCGGTGGTGCGTGAGTCCTGCTTACGTTCTTTCGCAGAAGCTTACGGATGCTATACGAGACGCAGAAAGAACTTGTGTGGTCATGCAATTGCATTCGGTACAAGGGCTTTCATGCCGAAACGTCACGGCCAGCGCTAATATAAGAATTAGGCTCACTCGATGAACGCTTCAATTATTCGCGTGTTGCTCGTTTTACCGGAAGAAGTTGAAGAAGCTCATTGAAGCAAAACTCCTTGCGTAACGAATGTCAAAGCAACGATATCCAGGAGGCAACGGACCTCTCGTTACGTTTATGACATCATGTTCTCACGTCGTCGTGCCACAGAAAGGTTTCAAGTGTTCCACCCCAATTTTTTTTTTCTTTACCAGCTTCTCAGAAATGAGAAGGGATGCGACTGATGTATAAGTTGTAGCACTAGTGCTTTTGAAGGAAGACGACAATTGTGTGCCTTTAATGACCGACATGGAAGAAGCATGTCGGCAGAAAACTCGAACCGGCCCGTGGTATCAAAAGTTCAAGTAAGGGCACAATAATTATCGTAGTAGCAGGCGAATTTTCTGGGCCAAACCGAATCCAAATGGACTAATGTCAAAAGCGAATCGCATAATTTTGTAATGTATTCGGACTTCCTCGTAATTTTAGCCTTGGGGCCACAAATCGAGAGTCAGTGTATTACGAGCATGCTCAAAGCTCTGTTGTGAGACCGAAAGATCACTGCATGGTTGATAAGATTCAGCTCCCCACGTAAGTGACGTAGGGCTGCTGTACAAGTAATGCTGCACGAGGATGTTGACCCCACGAGGATGAAAAGGCTTTCGCATGGCTTCACCAATTTCGTGCTTCTTTGTTTGCGGCCCTACAGTATGAAACGTACTTGCGAAGTATTCATAAAATATTGGAATTTACCAATGCTGTTGACTCGAAGACTTGTGGAACAGCGCACTATCCGATTCAACATTCGAAATAGTCGGATATTCCCATACTCCACTTAAAAGTCAGAGCATATAGGGAGTCAGGCATAGTTGCACGAGTTACGCGCGTGTGTGTCCAGCATCATCCTAAAGGAGAGAAAGCGTAGGAAGGGGCTTCATGGAGAGCGAAAAACAGAGATCAATCTTATTATTTATTATAGCTCATTACGAGTAGTCACTCTCGGAGTCCATCGGAGTTAACAATACTCGTGGTGAGTCTATTTGTGGTGGCCTATCACTCTAGAGGCCAGAATAAAAGCCATATCTTCTATGGCACAGTTCTTTCAATGAAGTGGTCACGATCTCCCAAGAAACCGAAAGGAAGGTTGGAAGTTTCCGAATTAATTAAAAAATATGTAAGAGGAGAGGTGCTGTGGAGTTTTCTCCGGTAATTATGGAGTTAATTGGTTATATTTGCCACAAACATTGAGCACCCTCTTACCATATTTGTCCTCGCCGTAGTGCTGGATTAGAAATTGTATGAGTGCTTGTGCTTGATGGCTTTGAGGAGTCTTCTCTCTAGTCGTTGTAGGCTGCGGACGTGGCAAGAGAAGTCTGTGTACTGTATACCTTCAGCAGACTGTGACTTTGTGCTCAGAACATAGCAAACCACTATACATAACCTTCATAGATTGCCAGAAGGCGTTTGATTCAGTAGAAATATCAGCAATCATGCAGACACTGCGGAATCAGGGCGTCGACGAAGCACATATAAACATCCTGGAAGAAATCTACAGGAGATCAACCGCTACCATAGTGCTTCATAAATAAAGCAACAGAATACCTATCAAGAAGGATGTAAGGCAGGGGGATACAATCTCCCCAATGCTATTTACCGCGTGCTTACAGGAAGTTTTCAGAGGCCTAGAATGGAAACAGTTATGGATAAGAGTTAGTGAAGAGTACCTTAGTAACCCGCGCTTCCCCGATGACATTGATGACAGTGGCAGATCGCCCCTATCCCTAAAGAGGAAGATATATAACAGCTGCATCTTGTCGGTAATTAGCTATGCATGAAGCGCGAACTTGGAAGTTTACAAGAGTTCATCTTAAATTGTGGACGACACAGCGAGTGATGGAAAGGAAAATGATAGGTGTAATAAGAGACAAGAAAAAAGCAAATTGGATCAGTGAATATACCGTGGTTAAGGATATCATAGTTGAAATCAAGAAAAGAAAATGGACATGCATGGACCGGGCATGTAGCGCATATGCAGGATAACTGCTGGTCATTAGGGGTGACTGACTGAATTCCTAGAGAAGTCAAGTGGGTTAGGGGGAGACAGAAAGTTAGGTGGGCAGATGGGATTAGGAAGTTTGCGTCTGTAAATTGGCAGCGTAAAGCACAGGACCGAGTTGACTGGGGGAACATGAGAGAAGCCTTTGTCCTACACTGTACGTAGTCAGGTTGATGGCAATGATGATGATGATGATGGTGATTAAAAATATAAATCCTACTCACAATGCGAAAAAATGCCGGAATCTGCGACTATAACTTGTGGTGTTGGCGCAATTGACCTTTTTCCAGGAAACAGACCATGAATTGTACGGTGCCTTGCTTAGTAAACTAATTCACTTCTCATTTGTTTCCTTCTTCCACGAAAATGTAGAGATGCAACTGTAAAACAGTCAATATGCATAGTTTTTTTCTTCAGGTGTTAAGACGCACGAAAATAATGAAAACTATTTTTTCCCCACAAGTCAAGGTGCGCTTTGCTACACTCGTTCGTGTATAACATTATAAAAACAAAAAACAATAAGGAACTACCATTCAAAGCTCGGCGCATTGACTGCATTTGAATACACAAATCGCCTGTGTTCAGCATGCCACGCTCCACATACGTCGATACAGTGCAAAAAGAGGAGGTGATTTTCAAGGTGAAACTTCTATTCTACTGTCATATGATGCGCACAAAACACAAAAGACTCTGCTCTATTAATGTATCAACCTAGATTATCATGAGCGACTAATGAATTCAAAAGAAGGTTGGCGTATGCTATGAAAGAACACGGAAATGTCCACATGGCAACTTCTGGTTAATATCATCTCTTCCAGCTATGTAAAGCGTTGTACCTAAAGATACAACAGCTTAAGATTAAAAAAATACTTGACGTGTCATTCTGAACATCAAACTATGCATGGGTATTTTGTGTATACGTACGCAAATTTCTATTGTTTAAGCTCGCTACCATTATACAGACAAACCTGATGGGCATACGGCTAACCACTCTACCTTTCTTTGCTTTTTCAATGGTCTAGCTGTTCAGAAAATTGTTCTTTGTGATTCTATGGCAGAAAATTATAGTAATATTAACGTGTATGTGCCACAGATATTGGTAAATGTCCTTACTCGCCACAGTTCCACTAAAATATAAGAAAGCAACAGCGTACCAAACACTATAGGGAACGGGAAAGGCAATGGCGGCTGTGAGAAGGGCCTGAAGCGATGGAACGCCTACGCCAACGACGAGATCTATGAGAGGTGTGAGAGAAATAGAATGATTTTAATGCGAAGCTGGAGATGTTTGCCTGGTTTTTCAACTGACAGGCTATTCCAGTTGCCGGGTGATGACAGTGATATATAGAATGATAAACACACAACACATGCAGAACATACACGCATAACAGTCACATAACACATGAAGTCACTCACACGCCCTGCACTATTTACAACGTTTCGTTCAAGCCTGCAGCGCGTGAGAATGTCAGTAGCGCTTTTGTAGTCTAACGCACTGGAGGTGTTCTGCCATGGGCCTAGAATATTTTTCAACTCCAGGTTTGTGTCCTGATGTATTTTAAGGCCATCTTCAGAGACTGTTTCTCTGATGCGTATTTCGTACAGTCACAGATGACATGATTGATGTTTTCAACGACGTTACATTGTGCACAAAATGCTGATTCGGGCAGTATAATTTCGTTCCTGAAGTAGTTCGTATATGCAACGTTTAATCGGATGCGGTGTAAACGCGTTTAATCTTGCCTGTTGAGATTTTGCGGCATCCTGAAGTCGCACGATGGATCGATTTTGTACAGAGGCCCATACTGTTGGCTAGGGTCTGTCCAGAGGGATCGCTGGAGGCGCCAGGCGTGTGCCGACACTAGCGTTGCTGCTTCTTGCCTCGAGAAAGGTATCTCGACGATTTCTGCTGAAATGTCATTTCCAGCTTTGGCAGCGTCATCAGCCCGTACGTTGCCTTGTATTCCGCAGTGGGCAGGGTATTCACCGCAGAACAATGCGATGATGGAGGTCACAGGCTTTCTTGCATAGGCGTTTGATGTTCATGACGAGTTGATCCTGTGTGCATGGAGACCTCAGTGACTGCAGCGCTGCTCTTGAGTCAGTGAAGATGACCCAGTACTCGCCTGTCTGGTCTATTATGTAATAATTAATGGCAGCCCGCAGTGCAGCCTGTTCAGTGGCTGTAGATGAGGTGCAGTGACTGAGAGTGGCAGAGATGGTGACATTGGCAG